GGGTCAGGGCCGTCTGCGCTCGGGTAGCAAAGTCATGGGAAAGAACAGAGAGGGCCTTGGGAACCTTGTCCTGCAGAACGACATCAGACTGTTCAAGCAGGTCGCTATGAGTTATTTCGAAGGACTTGATAAGGTTGATAGTATTGTGGACTGAGGTGGACAGCTCGTCAATCGACTCCTCGGAAGGGTTCAGGGAGGCATAGTCATCCAAGAGTGAGGGCAGATGCTCCAAGGCAGTCTTAAGCTGAGGCTCTGGCTGAGCTGCAACGCTTCGCGGGGGTGGGGCAGGCGGCATCTGAGTAAGTGTTGATTGCTTGAGTGGGGGGCAAGTCTCTCACCGGCGGTGCTGGATGGGCAAAGGCGGCCTTGAGGGACAGGACAGAGGCCGACGAAACGGCAGGGGAAGGACAGGGTGGCGGCTGCGGGATCGACGCGGGCTTGCGTCAGCCCGGCGGCTCGAACCAAGCAGCCAGCCGAGCGCCACAGAGGCTGTTGGGTGGGCGGCGGCCTTGGCCTCGATCAGGGCAGATGCGGCTCGTTGCGATCGAAGGAAGCGTCAGCCGGCGACACGACAGCGATGGGCAGATCTGACAAGCGGGGCAAGGCCCGGGGAGGCGACGGCGGCAGACAGATCCATGTCGAGAACAGAGATGCCTTCCAGCGGATGAACTTTCTGCACCAGGCGGCATGCTATCTGGGATCTCGCAGACACCAAGCGGACCAGAAGGACGGCGCGATAGCGGCCGGGGTGCCGCTGGCATCATACTACAACCACGCAATGAAGCGCATCTGTCGTAAACTCGTTGTCCGTCTGTAGGTGTTCGGAGGGATGCAGTGCATATGAATGCAGTAGAGAGCTACCTCCTAACCATGTCGATCCACAGCGATCCGAGCGTGAAGCGACAGATCTGCAAGCAGTGCCATGCGCCATTGATTCCGACTTTGACATCCGATATCGAGTTGAAGAGTAAGCATCGGAAAGGATGCAGCTGAGCATTGTCAGCACATTGCCATACCAACAAGGAAGGCATGAGCGAGAAAGCTCGACGATAACATGTGAGGCAATGACACTGGTCCGAATAACTGACACACATTATTCGCTGACGCCCAAAGAGGAGCCACTTCGAATCGTTACGACATGCGGCAGATGCAAAACAACAAAGTCGCTGCCAGCGAAGGGTCGAAATCCAGTCCTTTTTTACGACAAGAGCACGATCGGGCTGGACGATACCGATTGGCCGTCAGCAAAGGATCCGCGTGAGGAAGACAGCCTTGACCCGAACAATACGAGCGCGACTGAAAGAATTGAGGGGCAACAGAAGCCAGATTCCACCCCGAGAGATGTAATTCAGGCAAGAGATGTGGAAGGCGAACCACCCGTTGATCCAACAGACGAAGCGACAGACGAAGCGACAGAGAAATCGACAGACGAAATAAACTCGCAATGATCAGATCGATCAGATCGATCCAGCGAGAGGGGGGGGGCGAGAGGACAGGAGGGGAGCTGGTGCGGCACGAGTATGGCAAAGATGCGGCATGGGCATGAGCATGAGTATGGCCAACGGTGCAAATGCAGAAGCGAGCGAACCACCTTGGAGGTTGTTGGATACCAGCACACCCATGAGACATCATTCTCTGGGATGGAGAGCAGAGAGCGGTGTCGATAACGACCAACGACCAAAGACCAACGACCAACGACCAACGACCAACGACCAACGACCAACGACCAACGACCAACGACCAACGACCAACGACCAACGACCAACGACCAACGACCAACGACCAACCAGCAGTATCCAACAAGAACCGACACACTTGGACTTGCACACATGCGCATGGTTGGCTTACGATGATGCTTATGTATTTACAGGATCAATATCTGCCGCTCCATTCACCGCTTGGAGCATCACCACTCAGCGCAATACACACGTTGCATCTGCTCATCGATCACGTCTCGATGTCTGTGCTCATATGCTCGTGCTGTCTTTGCAGAGGGGGTTTGTCAGCCGCGTCAAGACTATGGTGCTCGTACACTGCCATCAGGTTGATTCCTCGTGGGGACAGGTGTTCATACAACACCAAACCATCATGGCAAGCAACGATCTAGACCAGCATCGTTCGGTGGTATTGCCGATGCCAGCGACAGTGACAGTGCCAGTGCCAGTGCCAGTGACTCGGATGCAATGCCTTGACCAATCCGTCGGGGACGAGCCAGGGAGGGAAGACCAATGCCAGATCGCAGTTCGAGACAAGCAAGCAGTAGCGAGTGTCGTTGAGGCAGAGGAGGATGAAGCCAAAGTGGGAGGGGGGAAACGGTGTATCTGGAGAAGACCGAGGGGGGGGGACAGCGGGGGTGAAGCAAGACATGCGGTAAAAAAAAATCAAGTGAAGCCGGGGGTGAGGCGTGGCAAAGGAAGACAAGGCAAGGCAGGGTGAGGCGAGGCGATACACCAAGCTGCCAGGGAACGAGGGATATGGAGGTAAGGTTCAAGTGACAATGGAGCGGAAGCGAGAAGATGACCACAAATACAAGGAGAGCGGTGCCAAATGGAACCAGGAGGAAAAGAAACAGAGAAAAGTGCCAGACCAAAGTAAAGGCACCAAAACTTTTGACGGCCTTGCAGAAGGATCGACCGACTGCTGTATCAGGCAATATCGCAGCATCCGGAGGGCCTGTTTCGCCAGGATCTGCCGCCACATACACATGGCAAACAGCTTAGCCGCCAAAGCCGTAGAGGGTGCGACCCTGGCGCTTGAGGGCATAGACGACATCGAGCGACGTGACGGTCTTGCGCTTGGCGTGCTCGGTGTAGGTAACAGCGTCGCGGATAACGTTCTCGAGGAAGGACTTGAGGACGCTGCGGGTCTCTTCGTAGATCAGGCCAGAGATACGCTTGACACCGCCTCTGCGAGCCAGGCGGCGAATGGCGGGCTTGGTGATGCCCTGGATGTTGTCGCGAAGGATCTTGCGGTGGCGCTTGGCACCTCCCTTACCAAGACCCTTTCCACCCTTGCCGCGGCCGGTCATGTTTTCGATGGGTTAAAGACGTTCAAGTGGCGTGGAGATTTCTTGTGCAAGCGATCTGCTTCGTTGATCAAGCAGATGGGTCAGCGCTTCGGGTCGAACGGAGTGTACGGTCCTGATCGCTGGGATGCTGGGGTGCTGTGGCGACTTGGGCGGCGGCTGCCGCGAGGTATTTATACTCGGTTCACCGGCCACGCCCGATGATGATAGGCTGGCGCCCCACCAATCATCTGGCGTGGCTTGGCATCCTGGCTCTCCGCGCCAGCAAGGCCCTCTCCCGCGCGGCCGCTGGCGTGCCTGGCCACTCAGCGGCGAAACCGGGCGGCCTCAGCAGAGTCACACAGGTCACACCGCGCGGCAGTATAAATGCCAGGGCCCGCCCGCTTCCTGGCGGGATAAAACCAACCTCGCTGCCCTGTGTCCTTGCCGCCCCAACCAGCCCGAGCTCGACGCCTCCATTATAATTTGCTACCCAACCAGTCAAGTAGCCCAGTCGTAACCATGGCCCGCACCAAGCAAACCGCCCGCAAGTCCACCGGTGGCAAGGCTCCCCGCAAGCAGCTCGCCACCAAGGCCGCCCGCAAGTCCGCCCCTGCCACTGGTGGTGTCAAGAAGCCCCATCGTTACCGCCCCGGCACCGTCGCTCTCCGTGAGATCCGTCGCTACCAGAAGAGCACCGAGCTCCTGATCCGCAAGCTGCCCTTCCAGCGTCTTGTTCGTGAAATCGCCCAGGACTTCAAGACCGATCTCCGCTTCCAGTCGTCCGCCATTGGTGCCCTCCAGGAAGCCTCTGAGGCTTACCTCGTTGGTCTCTTTGAGGACACCAACCTTGCCGCTATCCATGCCAAGCGTGTCACCATCCAGCCCAAGGACATCCAGCTGGCTCGTCGCCTCCGTGGCGAACGCTCTTAAGCGTCAAACATGGCTGCAGGCGGTAGCATGGACACACGCATGTCAGGGATGGCATTGACGGAACAGTACAATAGTACACCACAGCGGACAAACAACCATACGGCGACAGTCCAAAAGCACCATTACAAGGATCGAGAGCAAGCAAGACAGCACAAACACAAACACAAGATAAAGTCTAGCAAAGCAGATCGACGAGATTCCAAGATGATACCAAAATTGCCACACTTTCATTCTTCGACGGCACTGGTCGACCGCCGCGCCAATTATGGCGCTGGAACACGCCCCTGCGCATCCTTTCTATTTCAGTTCGCTCCGTGGTCCTGTCCCGATGTGATCTTGGCCTGACCGGCACTGGATGCTCAACAATTGTTGGAGACTTGAGGGGGGGGGCTCGCTGCCCCAGCAGTTGCCTCCAAGATGGATCGTTTGCCGTTTGCCGTTTGCCGTTTGCCGTTTGCCGTTTGCCGTTTGTTCCTCTCTCGCTTTCCTTGATGCTCCGGCCAGCCGATCTCAGGCATCGTTTTCTTGTACATACCGTGGCGCACACCAGCAATCATCGCATTTGTCTCTAATACACAATCATGTGTCTTTCGACACAGCTGAAGCTGAAGCTGAATGGCCAAATTGTGCTGGTGTGCTGGTGTGCTGGTGATTTGCGGTGCAACGGACTTGGCGCCCGTCGCATCCCAAGTCAGTCGCACCCCCAAGATCGCAGTTTGGGCTGCACAAGTCAAGCAGAGCGCGTGATTAGAGTGCGATATGCATCAGTGCACTCAAGAACCCGCAAAGGGTCTGTATCCCAGTCGGAGAGGGGGACTTGACCAACATGTCCATTGCCCCCCAGGAATCGCTGTCAATCTCAATTGCTCTGCAGTTCGACCATGGCTCTGTGTTTGTGCGATTCGGTTCGTTCCGGCCGTGTGCGGCAGACGGCTCGGCCATCAGGCTGCTGGGCTGTTGAGTTGGGCTGGACTGGACTGGACTGTTGGTCTGGGCTGGACTGGGCTGGACTGTTGAGTTGGGCTATTGAGTTGGACTGTTGAGTTGGGCTGTTGAGCTGCGACAAGCAGTCCGCGCTTTGGTCTGCTCGATCCCAGCATCTGCCCCGATCTGTCTGGATCTGCCCCGATCTGCCTCGATCTGCCTCGATCTGGATCTGTCGGGCCCTCCCCCATTCACTTCCCCCCTCAACTCGCTGCCTTCTTCTGCTCTTGTCTCCACACCGACATTTCCGCATTTGCAATGGCATCCGATCCGGTTCAAGCTTCCCTCCAGAAGTGTCTATCCCTTCTCGCCCAAGAGAGCCGTGATCTAGGATGCTCCGAGATTTCCTACCGAGACTCACCGCCGACACCTTTGGAATTTCTCCGTCTCGTCATGGCCAACAAACCATGTGTCTTTGGCAGTGAGTGCATCACTGCTATATGTTGCAAACACTCTCGGTATTTTGCTGATTTCTCCTCCTTTTGTTCCGATCCTTCCTTCTGGAACTCACACCACACAGATGTTGGCAAGGACTGGCCAGCGCTTCAAAAATGGAGGCGTCGAGAGTATTTCGAAACCACTTTCCAGCAACAAAAGATCACCGTATCTGTGACGCCAAACGGGTATAATACCCCATTCTATGATCCTCATCTGCATCCTCGATCCGACTGGCTCTTGCTCCTGCACCAAACCGGCATCAGCGTCTGACGGTGCCTTCAATCCTTTGCGTCAGCCTGGCTGATTGTGTTATCAACGACAAGTTCTGCCTTCCCTACGAAGAGCAAATGACATTCCCGGAGCTCCTCGATCGCTTCCCAGAAAGCCAAGCTCCAGACTCGGACGAGAACTATGATCACAACGAGCCTGTTCACTACGTCCAATCGCAGAACAACAACTTCTCGACCGAGTTCTCAGTCCTCCTTGATGATGTGCCCAAGGACATTGCATTCGCGTCCGAAGCTCTAGGTTGGTCCGGTGTTTGATCTCGCCTTTCGCTCAAAGATATCCGCACATAGTGGCATCAACTACGCCGTCATCTGATTGTCGTCCTCCGTCGGATCGCATACAGGAAAACAGCCAGATGCCGTCAACTTTTGGCTTGGATCGGATCGCTCGGTGACGTCTCTTCACAAAGACCATTACGAGAATCTGTACATGGTTATCACAGGGAGCAAGACCTTCACTTTGTATGCATTTTGAGCAGCATTCGTGGGTCCTTGAGCCGCATGTGTGGGTCCTTGAGCCTGCTGGCAGTTTGGATATGACCCGCTTATCCTTTTGACACTCACATTGTCGACAGAATTCCACCAACGGAGGGATTTTGCTTGCCGGGTTCGTCCATCTTCCTGCCATTGTCCTTGGACCCTGCGGGCCTCGTTGGCAGGCCACTTGCAAAGCGCCTGTCTACATCATCGGCCTGTCCCCACTGAGGCCTGCGAGCAGAAGAACACCACGGCTCCATAGCATTGCGTTTTGACCCTGTCGATATATTCTTGTCTCCACAGAGAAGCGATATACCACTGCCAGCTACCATCCTTCAGACGATTCGCCCACCCGAACAACAAAATGGGCGATTGTTCCCACCGAGCCTCCTTCAACAACTCCGTGGATCGCCCTTGATCCTCTCCACCCCGATCCCGCCGTTCACGGCGACTACATCAAGCACTCTCAGCCTATCCAAGTGACGCTTCTCCCTGGACAAATGCTGTATCTTCCTTCGCTGTGGTACCACCATGTGCAGCAGGGGCTCGAGCGACTTGACGGCTTTGCGGCGACCATAGCTGTGAATTGGTGGTATGATATGGACTTTGGTCGGCCGTACGTTTATTACGGATTCTCAAAGCAGATCGGCCTGATTGCACGTGGAGATCTGACTGAGCTCCAGGAACAACTGGCAGAGACCGAGCCAGAGGAAGACCCTATCGACTGAGTGCTCCAGGACAGCTTCTCAAATACTCCCTGAATCTTCATAGAGCCAATACAAAGACAGAAATGTGTGGTCCCCCACTAGTGGGATCACGGCTTGGGGATATCACCGTTATCGGGCACAGATTCATGGCCCATTCTCGCTGTGTTTCTGCGCACCACTTGAGTCTCGATATCACCGATTCCATGGCTGCGAAGTGGCATGCATCGAGTGGATGAACCACACTCACCCATCGAGTGGATGAATCACACTCCCACATCGACACATCAATACCAGTCGATTGTCGCCACAGGAGACCGACCGGGTGTAAGGACGGGAACAATCACATGGCTTGCTCACTGGAGCCTACGGATCAACGGACTTGTGTCGCTGATGCCAGGGAGTGACTGTCCCGTTTCTTTCTGGATTGACTGTAGTAGCAAGGTTGGGAAACGAGCCAGGCTGTGTCATTTGATCTTTCAACGTTGACAGCCAGCAACATAGACCTGGAGAGCATTCGCAGTAGTCATGTCTGGCCAGCGCTCATTCCGAGATTCATTCCAATATATTGGAAGGCGATTCACACTTATTATGGTAAGTATCGAGAGATTCCATAGGTGGCAGTTCAAACATAGAAGGTAACATGCCAAAGTGGGGAATGAGGTAGAGCATGCTGTGGATGGCTTGTCCTTCTGCAGCCAGTTCAAGCTGAATGCAATCGCAGCAATGTGGAGTAGATACAATGAGGCACTGGCCATACGATAAGGCCGGCAGACAACAAATCAGGCTGAGAATCGGGGATGATGGGCATGTCAAGTGGCCTACAGTTTGCAAACTCTGGGCCGATCTTAAAAGCCCCGGAACAGATCTCGGCGATCGACAAAGCGTTTTGTCGAAGGGTATACGAGGACGGTCGAGAAGCAAAGCCCGATCGTCAACCACACAGAAACCAGGAACATGTTGAGGACAGCAGAGGCGCTGCCAATGTCGGTCGCCAGCATAATTTGGAGGGACCCACGGACGCCGACCGAGCCCGGCACGAGAATGAGGATTGCTGTAATGATCGGGACAGTGGCCAGACCACCGCCGAATCGACTGTAGAGATTGCCGAGGACCCCGATGACAAACGCAGCGATGGCGGTGGAAGGTGCATTCTGCAGCTGACCAAGCGTGGTGCAGAGCAGGTAGGTACCCATGCCGCACGACGAAATGGCAAACATCACTGGCCAGTCGCGCATGGCGGCCTTGAAGGTGACATTGATTGAGAGTATTCCGATCGGGAGCATCAGCAGCACCCACCACAGACTCGTGGGAGTGGTGGGCATGACACAGCTTTGGTGGGCATTGTTGGTGTGCCCCGTGGTGTCGAAAAAGTCGGCCAGGCCAGGAATAGCCGATCCCATGACGACACCGGCGGCCATCAGCAAGGCCGTGAGCAGCGAATAGACGAGCCGCACGGTTCCGGAGACCAGACTCTGAGATGCAAGTTCCAGGACACCAATGGTGAATGGAAGCCCTGGGAGCTGCACGATCATCGATGACAGGAATATCGGCACGAAATTGAAGCATACGTTGGGAATGAGGGTCTGCACCACGCGGATGAGTAAAGTGACCAGACAAGCGGCCACAAGGTCGCTCAGGTAGGTGTAGTTCGGAAACAGTCTGGGGCCGTAGACGCAGATGCATCCCACGACCCAGCCAAAGAAGAAGCTGACCATCGAGTCGATCCAAGTACCCTTGAAGGCCAGTACGACGACAGCTCCGCCGGCAAGGGCGAATGTGAACGCTTGGATCCAGTCACGATCCCACATCCCACGAGAGGACATGATGTGGTCGAGCTCCTGGATGGTTTCGACAAGGATGGGCTTGACTGACGACGGCTCAGGGCCAGCATAGCACTCCTGGATCTTGGTGCACATGGATTCGCTGAGTCGGGTGACCGCGGAAAGCTTGCCCATGTCGTATCCTTGGGGCGCAAAGTTCAGAAAAGTCTCTGTGGACAGCGTTGTGACGTGGGGCAGGCCGAACGAAACCATGATAAGACTCGGCAATGCCGCGTAGTCGGCGGGGAGGTGAAGAAGCCTGGATATATAGCGGAGATGGAGTTCGGTTCGGAAGCTGGTTGCGCCGTATCGATAGAGGGCCTTGCCTATATATGCGGGTGCAGTGGGGCATTAGAGTCGACTGTTATGTGCGGTGAACGGACCTTGCCAAACATTGATAGCCACGGCGTTGATGAAGCAGGTATATAGAGCTCTGCCAACCAAGCTGTCGCCGCAATCTCACACCATGACCAAAGGCCGGGGGAGGACGGTGGACACGGGATCTTACCGAGACGGACAACAAGGTCTTGCTTTTCAAACCGGTCGGGATCATCCACGATTCCGATTGCGGTGCTGCTGACGTTGGGCGTCTGAAAGATGTACGGGCGATCCGAAAGAGTAGCCGGGGCATCTATGCAGCATCATACGAGGATTCAGTCGATACAGACGTCGAACAACGAGTGTTTGATGACGCATAATGTGAGCGAAGTGCCAACAAAGAGATGCATCAAACAACACACCTTGCAGGGTGGGGTTCCGGCTGAACGATGTGGCCCGACTGAACGATGTGGCCCGACTGTCCGAGATTGTCTTGGTGGACGCAAGGCGGCTCTGGCGTTTAGATGCACTCGGAAAGGACTGGAGGTGCTCATCGACACTCTTAGATTTGGGCTTGCGGCGGACCGACGCATACCATCGACTCCGACAGATGTAGCGATTGAAGATGACATAGCGATTAACATAGCGATTCACGGTGTGATGGTGGTGAACCTGCTGGACGATGGTCCCATCAGCCTGGACGGTTTCGATGATATCTTGAGATGAATCGATGAGGTTCCCTGTCTGAGACGGATGTGCTGCTGCCTGCTCGGCAGCGTCTTCCGGGTGACTGTCCATTTCGGAGGTGAGAGGGGGGAGGCTGTCGAAGCGCGGAGGATGGTCGACATCGCGGCCATATATTTGGGGGAGGCCCACCAGCCAACATGCAAACAAGAGCAGTGGCAGGGGCGTGCGGCCGCTGAGTCATTGGAGCAAGAAAAAAAAAATAGGAGGGATCCACGCGCACACAAGGACAGGAAGCCTGAACCCCGGGAAAACAGGCACGGGACAGCAGGAACTCCCCGGCACGGCATCCGCGCGCCTTGTCGGATTGCGCAACGACGAGGGTTGATGCAGATGGTGTCAGAGCATGGAAGGCACATGAGGCGAGATTGGCGAAGACTCGCTCGAGCGGCGGGGAAAGGACGCGGTGGGACGAATGTGGATGGGTGACTGCAGCGCGGGTTGGCTGCCGAGAAAGCACGCATCGGCGGATGGGCGGGGGAAACTGGTGGTGGAAGGGAGACAAGAGCAGAAGAAGGCAGCGAGTTGAGGGGGGAAGTGAATGGGGGAGGGCCCGACAGATCCAGATCGAGGCAGATCGAGGCAGATCGGGGCAGATCCAGACAGATCGGGGCAGATGCTGGGATCGAGCAGACCAAAGCGCGGACTGCTTGTCGCAGCTCAACAGCCCAACTCAACAGTCCAACTCAATAGCCCAACTCAACAGTCCAGCCCAGTCCAGCCCAGACCAACAGTCCAGTCCAGTCCAGCCCAACTCAACAGCCCAGCAGCCTGATGGCCGAGCCGTCTGCCGCACACGGCCGGAACGAACCGAATCGCACAAACACAGAGCCATGGTCGAACTGCAGAGCAATTGAGATTGACAGCGATTCCTGGGGGGCAATGGACATGTTGGTCAAGTCCCCCTCTCCGACTGGGATACAGACCCTTTGCGGGTTCTTGAGTGCACTGATGCATATCGCACTCTAATCACGCGCTCTGCTTGACTTGTGCAGCCCAAACTGCGATCTTGGGGGTGCGACTGACTTGGGATGCGACGGGCGCCAAGTCCGTTGCACCGCAAATCACCAGCACACCAGCACACCAGCACAATTTGGCCATTCAGCTTCAGCTTCAGCTGTGTCGAAAGACACATGATTGTGTATTAGAGACAAATGCGATGATTGCTGGTGTGCGCCACGGTATGTACAAGAAAACGATGCCTGAGATCGGCTGGCCGGAGCATCAAGGAAAGCGAGAGAGGAACAAACGGCAAACGGCAAACGGCAAACGGCAAACGGCAAACGGCAAACGATCCATCTTGGAGGCAACTGCTGGGGCAGCGAGCCCCCCCCCTCAAGTCTCCAACAATTGTTGAGCATCCAGTGCCGGTCAGGCCAAGATCACATCGGGACAGGACCACGGAGCGAACTGAAATAGAAAGGATGCGCAGGGGCGTGTTCCAGCGCCATAATTGGCGCGGCGGTCGACCAGTGCCGTCGAAGAATGAAAGTGTGGCAATTTTGGTATCATCTTGGAATCTCGTCGATCTGCTTTGCTAGACTTTATCTTGTGTTTGTGTTTGTGCTGTCTTGCTTGCTCTCGATCCTTGTAATGGTGCTTTTGGACTGTCGCCGTATGGTTGTTTGTCCGCTGTGGTGTACTATTGTACTGTTCCGTCAATGCCATCCCTGACATGCGTGTGTCCATGCTACCGCCTGCAGCCATGTTTGACGCTTAAGAGCGTTCGCCACGGAGGCGACGAGCCAGCTGGATGTCCTTGGGCTGGATGGTGACACGCTTGGCATGGATAGCGGCAAGGTTGGTGTCCTCAAAGAGACCAACGAGGTAAGCCTCAGAGGCTTCCTGGAGGGCACCAATGGCGGACGACTGGAAGCGGAGATCGGTCTTGAAGTCCTGGGCGATTTCACGAACAAGACGCTGGAAGGGCAGCTTGCGGATCAGGAGCTCGGTGCTCTTCTGGTAGCGACGGATCTCACGGAGAGCGACGGTGCCGGGGCGGTAACGATGGGGCTTCTTGACACCACCAGTGGCAGGGGCGGACTTGCGGGCGGCCTTGGTGGCGAGCTGCTTGCGGGGAGCCTTGCCACCGGTGGACTTGCGGGCGGTTTGCTTGGTGCGGGCCATGGTTACGACTGGGCTACTTGACTGGTTGGGTAGCAAATTATAATGGAGGCGTCGAGCTCGGGCTGGTTGGGGCGGCAAGGACACAGGGCAGCGAGGTTGGTTTTATCCCGCCAGGAAGCGGGCGGGCCCTGGCATTTATACTGCCGCGCGGTGTGACCTGTGTGACTCTGCTGAGGCCGCCCGGTTTCGCCGCTGAGTGGCCAGGCACGCCAGCGGCCGCGCGGGAGAGGGCCTTGCTGGCGCGGAGAGCCAGGATGCCAAGCCACGCCAGATGATTGGTGGGGCGCCAGCCTATCATCATCGGGCGTGGCCGGTGAACCGAGTATAAATACCTCGCGGCAGCCGCCGCCCAAGTCGCCACAGCACCCCAGCATCCCAGCGATCAGGACCGTACACTCCGTTCGACCCGAAGCGCTGACCCATCTGCTTGATCAACGAAGCAGATCGCTTGCACAAGAAATCTCCACGCCACTTGAACGTCTTTAACCCATCGAAAACATGACCGGCCGCGGCAAGGGTGGAAAGGGTCTTGGTAAGGGAGGTGCCAAGCGCCACCGCAAGATCCTTCGCGACAACATCCAGGGCATCACCAAGCCCGCCATTCGCCGCCTGGCTCGCAGAGGCGGTGTCAAGCGTATCTCTGGCCTGATCTACGAAGAGACCCGCAGCGTCCTCAAGTCCTTCCTCGAGAACGTTATCCGCGACGCTGTTACCTACACCGAGCACGCCAAGCGCAAGACCGTCACGTCGCTCGATGTCGTCTATGCCCTCAAGCGCCAGGGTCGCACCCTCTACGGCTTTGGCGGCTAAGCTGTTTGCCATGTGTATGTGGCGGCAGATCCTGGCGAAACAGGCCCTCCGGATGCTGCGATATTGCCTGATACAGCAGTCGGTCGATCCTTCTGCAAGGCCGTCAAAAGTTTTGGTGCCTTTACTTTGGTCTGGCACTTTTCTCTGTTTCTTTTCCTCCTGGTTCCATTTGGCACCGCTCTCCTTGTATTTGTGGTCATCTTCTCGCTTCCGCTCCATTGTCACTTGAACCTTACCTCCATATCCCTCGTTCCCTGGCAGCTTGGTGTATCGCCTCGCCTCACCCTGCCTTGCCTTGTCTTCCTTTGCCACGCCTCACCCCCGGCTTCACTTGATTTTTTTTTACCGCATGTCTTGCTTCACCCCCGCTGTCCCCCCCCCTCGGTCTTCTCCAGATACACCGTTTCCCCCCTCCCACTTTGGCTTCATCCTCCTCTGCCTCAACGACACTCGCTACTGCTTGCTTGTCTCGAACTGCGATCTGGCATTGGTCTTCCCTCCCTGGCTCGTCCCCGACGGATTGGTCAAGGCATTGCATCCGAGTCACTGGCACTGGCACTGGCACTGTCACTGTCGCTGGCATCGGCAATACCACCGAACGATGCTGGTCTAGATCGTTGCTTGCCATGATGGTTTGGTGTTGTATGAACACCTGTCCCCACGAGGAATCAACCTGATGGCAGTGTACGAGCACCATAGTCTTGACGCGGCTGACAAACCCCCTCTGCAAAGACAGCACGAGCATATGAGCACAGACATCGAGACGTGATCGATGAGCAGATGCAACGTGTGTATTGCGCTGAGTGGTGATGCTCCAAGCGGTGAATGGAGCGGCAGATATTGATCCTGTAAATACATAAGCATCATCGTAAGCCAACCATGCGCATGTGTGCAAGTCCAAGTGTGTCGGTTCTTGTTGGATACTGCTGGTTGGTCGTTGGTCGTTGGTCGTTGGTCGTTGGTCGTTGGTCGTTGGTCGTTGGTCGTTGGTCGTTGGTCGTTGGTCGTTGGTCGTTGGTCGTTGGTCGTTGGTCTTTGGTCGTTGGTCGTTATCGACACCGCTCTCTGCTCTCCATCCCAGAGAATGATGTCTCATGGGTGTGCTGGTATCCAACAACCTCCAAGGTGGTTCGCTCGCTTCTGCATTTGCACCGTTGGCCATACTCATGCTCATGCCCATGCCGCATCTTTGCCATACTCGTGCCGCACCAGCTCCCCTCCTGTCCTCTCGCCCCCCCCCTCTCGCTGGATCGATCTGATCGATCTGATCATTGCGAGTTTATTTCGTCTGTCGATTTCTCTGTCGCTTCGTCTGTCGCTTCGTCTGTTGGATCAACTGGGATGTCCATTTCGCAGGCCCTTCCTCCGCGCGCGTTTCGGCCCTGGCCAATTGGTCGTTCCGCCTCGTCTCCGAGATCCGTGAATGTTGCGGCCCTCCTCTCTGTCGTCCTTCATCTCCCCATCAATCCTCCGGCCGATTTGCATGCTGGCATGCCACCAAACCCCCCTGTCTTTTCGGTGGATGGGCGGGCCAGCCCTACAAAAATCCTGGATGAGGAGGCTCTCCAGATCCTCCGGCTCCGTCTCGACCAACTCGATTACAGAGAGCATCTTTCCGCCGAGTGTGTCCCCCTCGTTCGACGGCTCCTTGCTGATCTGGTCCAAACCACAGAATCCAGCCGTAACCTAAGAACGCAGCTCGAGCTAGCCGAGCGAGAAAAGGCCCAGCTCCAGGATCAGGTCCGACCCAACCTTCCGATCTTCTTAGGGCATCGACATCCGCAACCCCGTATTGATGCTGTCCTGCTCATCCCTCCACCAGACAACTCCACTACGCAATGAAATCGCCCGTCTCACCGATGAAAACAACCATTTGCACATGGATCTCATCCGGCTCGCCGATGAGCGGGACGCTCGGGATCGGAAAGTTCAGCAGGCTGCAAGACGGGGCGAGGCCGAAAGGGCTGATCTCCGGTTCATGGTCTCTCAGTATCTCAACAAAGCTACTCTTGAGCAGAAGAAGGCAGAGGAACAGCGGATACGAGTCGACGAGCTCTTCAGTCGAATGGGCATGTTCAGCCAACCGGCCGCCCCAGGTATAGTGGTGCCTTATCTTG